TTAATGCAAGAGAAACCATGCAACGTGGTTACACATTAATTAAACATTACACATTAATCAATCATTTGGAACACGCAACAAAGTAAGGGCAATGATGATAATTTGCAACAATCCTCTGCTAATAATGTTGTTATTGCCATTTTGTTAACTTGCAATTAGTTAGAATCTTTAGAGATTTGTATTGATTGCTCTTATCATGTTTGCTCTTCTTGTCATTATTTTTTTCATATCATTGTTTGTCTTCTATGTTGTTGTTTTTAGCAGCTGCTACATATATTCACATTGAAAGACCTATCTACCTGTTTGTCTATTTATTCATCCATCCGTTTGACAGCCTGACTGTCTGTTTGTATGATAATCTGCCTGCCTAACTGTTTGTCTGTCTATCAGTTCATATGTTTGTCCATCTGTCCATTCATCCATGCATTTTCCCATCCATATTTTAATCCATCCATCAATGCCTCAGACCCATTTTTTATCAGAAGCATTGTGTGAAGTGAACAAAGAAATCTTTCCAGCACCATACAAATCTCCATACATCAAAAAAATCCCTTTGTAAAAAATAGAAAAATGTTACAAAAAATTAAAAAAATTAATTTTTAAATTAATTTTGTTTCGAATAAAATTTGGTATATTTACTTAATAGCTTAGTGCAATATTTACTCAGATATGGATAAAATATTTGATATGGAAGGCACGTGCTAATATTTTAATTGAAATGGTCAATTCATAATAATATTATAAGACTGACACTGACCGATATATATATATATATATATATATATATATATATATATATATCATCCTCCTCACAACGCTGTAATAGACACCATAACAATACATAATAATAATAATAATTATTATTATTATTTTTATTATTATATCGTCAACATCGTCACCATACATAAAAGTATCATCGTCATCATCATCGTCATCATCATCATCGTCATCATTGTAATAGCAACAATGATATTGTTATAACCGACCCCTAGAACTTGTAGGGTATGGTTATTTCTCTTTACGCGGATTCTTGATTCCTAAACTTCTTTTAGATGACTTTATTAGAAAGAAAACAGAGCTGGCAATTGCCGTAATCGATCACTCGTTCGTTCGATCGTTAAAATCGTTAGACTACAAAACACTAATCAACAGTTAAATCACAAGATAAAACTAATCGTCAATAACTAAGCTCTTCTCGTCAGATGTTTTTTGACCGTAAATCCTAAGTATCCGCTTCTCGGAAGATTATCGTAATTCACTCGCAGACCGCGTGTAGAATTCTTCGCGAAAAACTTCTCCTTGGGCGTTATCGCTAATTTGTTTGCAGTACGCACACAAAATATCTATGCGATAATAGGACTGCCTGAAACTTCTTCTGACTTCTTCGTAATTCTCGTCGTTCCTTGTGCACTTCTCTCTCTATTCTCTCTCTTCTTTTTCTATTCTCCCTCTCTCTTTTCTTATCGTTCTTGTTGTCGGTCTATTTATACCTCGCTTTCTCTTACAATCATCGACATTTTACAATGCGGTTTTCATTTCTCTTAATTAAATTATCAAGCGCTTCACTTTAATTTCTAATTACCAATTCTTATCTTGCCTTCACGTCTGTAGCAATATCATAGAATGAAAGTTATAACAGAATCATTATCAGGATTGCATCAACAACAACATCATCATCATATCACAATAAGCTTATCGTCATCATTTTTATCATATATTTATCGACAGCTCTTCATCAATAACAATCAATTTTTTCTACGTTATCGGCTCCATCATCGTTATTATATTACTTTTATTATTCTTTTTACGATATCATCATTATATCTACGCTGTTGTTGTTGTTGTTATCATCATTAATTTTATTACCTGCTACAAATAATTTTCCGCGTTTAATATCATCATCGCCCCCAACTGAAGAAATGTCATCATCATCATCATCACCATCATCCTCATTAACACGGCTGTAACATCATTACCATCATCACTTGGCCTTGTTGAAATGTCATGTGATGATGTTTCAGATGATGATGACGATGACGACGACGACAACAATGACGATGATGATGATGATGATGACGATGATGAAGATGATTATGATGATGATGACGATGATGAAGATGATTATGATGATGATGACGATGATGAAGATGATTATGATGATGATGACGATGATGAAGATGATTATGATGATGATGACGATGACAAAGACAACGGTGGTTATGTTGATGATGATGATGACAATGAGAACGATGACTATTCTAATTACAATGATGATGGAGATGACAATGAGATAGGAATGATGACGACAAAAATGATGACGATGACCATTTACAATGGTGATGGAGACGACAATGACGACGATGATGACGATGACGTCACGCTTCTCGATCACGTGTTCTTAATTAAGGCGTACGGAAGTCCAGTCTATCGCAAAAGTAATAAAATATTAATTACGCGGCTGAATAGAAAGGCTTCCATATGGAGAAAACTAAATGAAAATTTAATTCAACATAAACGACAGTTGCATGGATAAACAGATGAATAAATAAATGAATGATCGACGGAATGAAGGAATAAATAAATGAATAACTGTCTGAAATAATAAATTAAAATAGTTTATATTTGCTTTGGGAACTTTTATATTTTTTATCATGAAGATGCTATTGATATAGAAAATACAAAAATAACATCGCTAAAAGATTGAATGATTGCTCCTAGATGCTACACCATACCACACCACTCACAATAATAACTTTCGTTGCTTAGCATCGTCACCTGGTTTCTAACTAAACTCTAGCTCTAAGAAATAAAAACATCAGACAGATCGTAACAACGTTAATGCTACATACCAGAAATCAGAAGCGTTTTGAATAAACGCTAATTTGCAATTTTTCAGAAAATCAAAACAAAATTAGAAATAGCAAATTGATGCATGGGACGTGACCAGAAACTGATGGCTAATACTTAAAATTATTCTGCTCGGATATGCATTGGCTTGGTTCAAACTCTCGTTTGCTCAATTTCAAAACAGTTAGATATATGTATTATTGCCAATATATGACCGTATGCATACCCAGTGTCATGTAAAGTTAATCCCAATTTTTTGAAGCTAGATTGATAAAGTTGTTCAGTGGCTATATGACATTCGGAATGATGATGCTAATTACTGTGGTGACATTGTAGGTGGCGACGATTGTGTAGTAGTGGTAACGATGTTGGCTGCCGACGTTGATGTCGGTGATGTTTGTTGTAAAATAAAGATTTTGTCTTGAGCCGAAAAAACGTAAAAATATCATTATTTTTCTCAGCAGTTCCTGAAACAAACTTTCTGTACATTCCAAATTAAGAATGATGAGAAGTGATAATTGATAATAAAAAAAAGATAATAGGAATGATGAAAAACATCTCAATTTAATCGATAAATGAAATTTATTTTCTGAAAAAAAATCATTTATTTTAAAATAAATTGAAAAAAGTTTTTTCTTGGAAAAAAAATGTCGATAAATTCTAAACTTTATAAAGTTTACAAAATTCGCTTGAAACCAGAGAATTTTCAAATATCGCATCGCGTGTAAAACAGAATATCAATAATTGTAAAAAAAAAAAGTTAACTTCTTAACTTTATCATTTTCATCATTGGCATGCCATAACCATCAGTTTTATCATCTTCTCAATCATCTTCTTAATCATCTCTTTAATCATCTTCTTAATCATCTCCTTAATCATCTTCTTAATCATTTTGAAGGTCATCATCAAAGTCATCGGTAAGAACATTTTTAGTTGTAACCATCACTGTATATTAATCATAATTATCTTCCTCGCGGGTCGTATTAACTTTTATTGACAACACATTTTTAATTTGCAGTTGTAGCATTTATCGTCGTCATCATCACGTATTGTCATCATCATCATTCATCATTATCATCCCTTATAAACATCATCATTATATCATCGTCGTCGTCATCATGTCATCATTATCATCACTTATCATCATCATAGCATCATCACTTATCACTTATAATTATCATATCATCATCGTCACGGTCACCATCAACAAGCACCGTGAAACAACACACAATCAACAACACCATACAAAACAACATCATATCAACAATCCAACCATGAAGCTTCCAGCAATATCAGTGAACAATACATCTATGGCAACAATACAACAGCATTACAACACTAACATAACTAACCATATCAATAAATTTAGCTACATTAACAACAAAAATTACAATAGCAATAATTACAATATCAACATCAATAACATCGATTACAACAACAATCAACATCAACAACATTAATCACAACAACAATCAACATCAACAACATTAATCACAACAACAATCAACATCAACAACATTAATCACAACAACAACATTAACTAAGACAACAAACAACATTAATAACAACAACAACATTAATTAAAACAGCAAACAACAACATCAACAGCATTAATTACAACAACAAGAAGCAACATCAACAATTACATCAACGTTCTCTAGTAAGTACAGCAGTATGCAGCCCAGTTGACGAAACCATGGAAATAGGTCTGTTAATGTGATGGCGGTGATGTGATCATGCTGATGATGTAATATTACCATGTGATGTCATCTTAATGTGATTTTGTCATCATTTTGTGGTGAAATGGAGTAATGTTTCGGCGATAATTTGCAAAGTTGGCGACATCAATTCAACGACTACAGCAACAAATGATGTTGATGTGATGTGGTGATGAGATGTAATGGGATAATCTGATGGTGGTGACATGGTGATGATGTGATAATATATGGTAATACATGTGGTGTGACGATGATGATGTCTGTTATGTGGTGCTGATGGTCAGAGGGTGAAAATGTTGATGTCAATGATGAAAGTGGTAAAAGTGATGCGACGTGATGTGACGTGATGACATAATATGATGGGATGTTTTTAATGTATTGACGTTGAAAATTGCCAAAAATTATGAAAAAAATGAAAATTTTGTAGGAAAATTTTCACTCCAACTTGGGACACGGAACAAGTTCTGGAAGGAATATATCAGAGACAACCTCAACGACACCAACATCAGCATCATTTGCTCCATCATCATCATCATCATTGCCATCATCATCGCAACCCAGCTGACTACTCCTTTGTCCCCACTTGAATAGCTTACCTATGAAATGACGAAACAAGATGATGATGCCAATGTTGACGATGATGATGGTGATGGTGATGACGATGATGACAACAATGTTAATGGCAAATGATCAGACGAAGATGATGATGACCAGACGACAGAAATAGTTATCCAAAAAAATATAAATAATAAAATCTACGATGAAAATTGAAACAAAAAATGACCGACCATCCTCTGTAACTGCGAATGAAACCGACAGACCAGCGCATACGTGCGTGCAGTAAAGTCTCTTCAGTGCCGACACCAACCGGAATCTTTTGTGCACGTGCGTGTGTGTGTGTGTGTGTGTGTGTGTGCGTGTGTGTGTGTGTGTGTGTGTTTAATCTTTGGTAATAGTAGATGTTTGTTTGGTTTGTTTGATCTGGTTATTTTATCCATGTAAAATAAACTTTTCTGAAATAAATTGAAGAAGTTTGATAAACCTGCAAGTATTTTTACTATAAACTGAATTTAGAACCAACTTATTGTAAAAAGATAAAAAGTAATTGTGTTTAATTTTTTACATTTGCAGTCGTTAATGAGGAAGCATGCTTGCAACAAAATGCAACAGTAAGTCATTCATTAGTACTGTCTGCCAACATTGTATCAAGCATCAACATGCATCATCAACATGCAGCATCAACATGCATCATCAACATGCATCATCAACATGCATCATCAACATACAACATCAACATGCAACATCAACATGCAACATCAACATGCAACATCAACATGCAACATCAAAATCATAAACATGCAACATAAACATGCAACATCAACTTACAACATAAACATTCAACATCAACATACAACATACAACATCAACATACAAACAAAAAACAAACGATTATCAACAAACATACACCGTGAGACAAGACTCATCATTCAACATACAACAAACAACGTAGAACAATACATTTTCATTGACAAACCGCAATTTAATAGTCACTGAATCTATAAAAAAAATCGCTCGACAGGTGCTGGAATGACTGAAACAAGGGCTTTGATTGGGACCGGTGCCACATTTTGGTCAAAATAACTTTTTTTTATAAAAAACAAACACAACCAAACAATGATCACATTTATGCATTGGTTTTTACTGAAGGTATGCAGGAGCGCTAGATAGCAAATTTGAATCTATGAAATAGTTGATGCTTAAAAATGGTTCTATGTGATAATTTTGAATGGGCAAAATTATTATTCAGTTACATTTTGGGTAGATTTCTTCGCTCACGAGCCATTTTTATCGTAACTCCATTAATTTATACGCGCAAATTTTTTAAATTGAAAAAATAACAGAACAAATGAACAAAATTTACTGTTGCAGAGAAAAAAGTAAATTAAATTATGAGCAGCTTGCAAATTTTAAACGTTTCGTCAAAAAGAAAGGGACACACAAATCTTATGACAAATCACAGTTCACATGAAGAATAACGTAAGGAAGATCCAACTTGTTAGATTCCTCCACTTCCTTTCCAACTCCCAACTGACCGTAAGTGTTGCGACCAGCAGTGTATACCAAACCTGTTCGATTAACATAAAAATATTATCAATCATTCTCATTATTAGTAGTTTATTTTAATTATTATTCAAAAATCTTTCTGTTTCCTATGTTATTCATAATTTGAACAAAGTATAGTAAACTTGGTGGAATCACTTATTTTTACAATCGAATGAGAATTCAGGTGGTGAAGAGCTGCGAACCATCTCGATCGAGCACCAAGGTGTGATTGATGGACGAACTTATCTGCCTCACTTGAAACGTCTTGCTGTCTGTTTTCACAATCCACTTGCTCGGAAAATAACGTGAATCACTGTCCGAGAAACCTAACAAAGCAAACAATGAAATGGTTGTCGATAAACTTTTGAAATTAAACAAAATGCTTTGTGCCGTGTTTGTGTAATGCGAAAATTTGAGCAAATAGTAGCAAGGAAACCAGTTGTTATTTCGATACAAATTTGTTCTATACGCAATAAATTACAATAAAAACTAACACGCATGTTCATAACTATATACACAACCTAATTGGTGACAGTTGTTCAGACCCCATGCAAAAATTGAGCCATCCGATGTTCTGGCGAATGAATTATAACTGCCAGCCCAAATTTCATCGATAGGTGGATTTTTTAAAACGACGTTAGATTCAACAATATCAAGTATTTTTTTGCTGTTTAAGGGGGTGTTTTTGGTGCCGTCGTTGATGTTGTCGTTGATGCTACGATTGCTCTTGTTGTTAAGAATAGTAATGCTGTTTCCAGAGGTCAAGTAGAAACTTTGCTTAATGTCATTTGGGTGAAAATTTACTGACTTCAGCGTGAACATTGCGTTCGTTACATCAGCTGTGGGCGAAAAGTACTCCGATTCAAGATAATTTAATATTTATTATTCTAAATAATATTCAATAATTTTTTTAAATAGTACACCGTTTCTTATTTGTATAAGACAGAATGAGACAGTCCGCATTGGGTTTTAGCAAATTTGCCATGTTCATATGTAATGCAAGTGGTGTAATTTTCACAGATTTCATGGCACGAAAATTTTATTTGAAAATAAATGAAGAAACAAATTGGAAAAAGTTTATCCTAATGAAGATCTTAAAAAATGAAAATATTGTGAGAAATTAACTGAGAGCCATGCAGCATTCTTGAATCCTCCCGAGCTGCCCACGCTCACCGGCCCCTGATTAACAAACAACAAATTTTATTGTTGGAGTTCTGAATTAACAATTTTTCCATCCATTCATCTATCAATCGTTCATTTACTCATCCATCCATCTCTCCATCCATCCATCCATCCATCCATTCATCCATCAGTCCATCCATCCATCCATCCATCCAACCAACCATCCATCCACCCACCGATAGAGTACAAGTATTTTGATTCTGTTAATACCAGCAAATGGTTGCACCCACTGCTTATTGACGTCACGGCATCAGGCACGTGACAAGGGATGGGCGAGGTAGAGCCCGGGTTATCAAAAAATAGGTGACAGTTTCCGTTTTCCAACTTTTTAAAATTTTAAGTATCATGCATAGATGAGAATTGTTTGTCTTATCAGCAAGAGTTTAAATTATATTTAAGAAGGTTATCGGATGTTTCTGAATTTTAATAAGAACTTTAATTTATACATAAATACATTGGTAGCTCTTATATTAATATTATTTTTATTAATTATATAAAATATAAATTTTTTAAATAGTGAAACTTTTCCTATTTAAGGTAATTTCAAATTCCTGCTACTTTTCAAGTGGAAATGTTTTACTCTGATCTTATTTATTTGTTATTAGATTCATTCAAATGAAAACAGCAACAAGACCTGTTTTAATTTTTACAATGTCAAATTTTTCTACATATCTCAAGCAAGCATTGTATTAATATGATCAAAAGCGCTTCATCACATTATCACAAACATTCAACAAATTACACGCAGCCCACTGAACAGCAGAAACATTGTAAGCATGTTATTCTAACCCTGAAATTGCCCCAAACAAATAGTAAACCATCACTGGTTGCCACAGCCACATGACTGTCACCGGAAGTAACTAAGGTCACGTGATGTTGTTGGATTGATGTTACTGGCTGAGGGATGAACCAATCGAGTTCGTCTGTTGTTTCGCGTCCAAGAACCCCTTGGTCGTTGCACCCAAACGTGAGTATCTTTTAAGGAAATATTCTTTAGTTAAATTTCTTAAGTTTGAACCGCAACAACAACAACAAAAGAAGTATGATAATTACAAATGGTTTTATTTCTTTTGGAAATAATTACATAATAATTTTTAACCAGAAAGACAATAGTAATAAGGCGTATGGCACAAGCAAACCTTCCCACAACTGGTTCTGACAACGGTATGCATGCCCCCTCCAACCGCCTCCAACACGTTAAAGTCATTCAAGTCTTCCACATTTTTCAGTTCTCGTGAGAAAATGACGTCACTACCCAAACCCAACTGACCGGAAGTTCCGTCCCCCATCACGTAAACCCGTTTCAAAAATGTATTTGCTGGAGGCAGTCAGATATGTGAATGGGATGAACACCTTTGATCTTATCTGTGATACTATCGTTATCAAACCTACCACCATCAACATTTAGTTTTCATGACCATCATTGTAACCATCAATAAAATGATTGTGATGAGATGAAATGACACTGAAATATTAATAATGTAACTTAAATGGTGTTATGTAAGACCTTCTCCACGGATTTTCGTCTTCTTGCAATCCACTGTCGGCTCGGACGCCTTCCTCTTCGTCGGCTTCTGTTTTTCACCCACTTCCACCTCCAAGCACTCGTTACTAACAACATATTTCATTGGATGTTGGTTGAGTGTTTCGAAAATTTTGATAAATATTAAAATAAACAATCTTTAATTTATTTTTGTTTATTTACGTCACAACCCAAAATAGTTATTGAATTTGAGCCGGCAACAATATTGTAATAAAAGAAATGAAAACAACTTGAATTAATAAATTTAAATGAAATTTATGATAGAGATAATAAACGCAAGCAGGAATATGACTATCAGAGCGTAAAAAAATTACGTTATTTTCAAAAGTTTTCCTAAAAACGATTGAAAATGTTGAATAAATTGAATATGATCTTCATATAAATTTGTAAAAACTATTTCAGCTTTCCATCCTGCAACAACTAAATCAAGTTCAATACGAAACCACTGGTTTTAATACCTGTTTTTAAATCTTTGTAGTAAGCATAAAAGAAGAGCGCAAGTTTTTTTATTATAACAAGTTTTAGCCTCTCCTCGCAACAAATTTCTGGCCTCTGAAGTGTTTTCCTAAATTAAATTAACCGCTAAACAATCAGAAATATTTCAAAGTGTTACAACTAATTCCTTCCGTTAACCAGGTGTACGAATCTCTTTTCAAGTTAAGACGGAATATGATGCGATGGATATAATGGAATTAATAATTAATCTTGTCTCAGCTGATTTAGTACTCTGATGAATTATATCAATAGGCAATATATCAATGATACTCTTGAATGGTTTGAAAGATGGAGAATGAAAGTAAATCCTGACAAATGCCATCTTTCGAGAGTCGGCAGGAGTACCGATGGTGCAGATTGTTGACCAGCCGATGCTCATGGGGCAAGTCATTCGATCAACAATAGTCTATTGCTGACTGGGCTATTTTTCTCAAATAAATAAATAAATAAAATCATTCTTACTTGTGCGTGCTGATGTTTGTCTTTTTACAACAATCCAAATTTGTGGCAGCTCAAAACAAAAGTACAAACGAATAAAAAGGAGCGAAAATAAAAATGAAATCCAACTCAACTTATGTACAAGCCTGTGTTTTTTAACGTACAATGCGGAGTCGATCGAAGCTACTAGAAACAAGAGATGTTTCAACAACTTCTACACCACCATCTTCATCTGTTTGACAAGCCGTTGCAATAGCACTCTCTATGGACAACACCGCCCAACACATTCGTTTGCTTTTTTAAAGTTTAGTTCATTAACATCAAATACATCCATTCCTATTAATATTCATAAGATCTCATTACTATTCATTAGGCTGCGTTCCATTGTATTGCAAGAAAATTAATTCTAAATATTTTATAAGAGTGTCTTTTTGCACATCGTCATAAAAATGTATGCGCATAAATTTAGACAGGTAAGAGTTAACAGCTGGTGTCAAATTCTGCTCGTCAGTAGTTTTGGTGGAATCAAATTTTAGCTGTGCGTGTGGGTGGATGAAATGTTTCAATAAAAATAATTTTTCAGTATCAACAATTTGTTGAGAATAATTTTTTATTTAATTGTTCTTATCGTCCATTAATATCTTTCGGTACTGTTTTAATTTAAGTGGAATAAAAAAATTTCAATTATTTTGTAAACATTCGGGATGAGCAGCTCTTATGACAACGTTCGTTGATGGCTGTGAAGGCCTCCAGTGGAACCACTTGGACGGCCATACGCAGCCAATGCCAAAGATTACTTTTTTTTCTTTTTGCAGGCACTTTCAGCCGTGGCTCTCCACTAAATTGGACATTTTTTAGCCACGCGGTTCCAAAGAAATAATCTCAATACCCACAGCCTCTGTGTGCAAATATTTCGAAATCTTAACCGCTACAAGAATCATTATACAACGTTTCGCCATCAAAATAATCTGAACTTGTAATTAAACACAGTTTTGATTTTTCTTCTGTCCCGCCGGCATATTCTTCTTCTATATAATCTCTCTGTGGCTGTTCATTTCTCGTGGCATGGACGCTCTGGTTCCCATAATCTAACCAAAGCTCCTACCTATGCAAGGATCAAGATGGATTTTTTAGAACAACTCCTCTTTATACATTAAATAAAATACAATACTATGATATACAGAATTGAATAAAACAAGGGAGAACGATATAAAACAATTCATCAAATACTGTACAATAAAAACAATGCATTTTGTATAGGCTCATATACCTCAGACATATTTATAATAAATGCAAAAATATTAACAAGCTTTTTAAATTTATTCCTTGATTGAAAGACAATTAGGTTAGCTGAACTTTGTGATGATGATATCTGTGCCATTCCACTGACTGTTGAATTATTCTGATATTTTGATGAATTTTTATAACATTTGGCTGAATTATTATAAAATTTTGTTGCATTATATTATTTTACCAAATTATTTTGCAATTTATCGAATTATTATTAAATTCCACAAGATTTTGTAAAATTTAATAAAATGTGTAACCAGGTGTTGTCTTAGGTGGAAACATAACATATGGATTGGAAACAACATTTGTTTGTTTGCATGAAAGAAGTGACCAGCCAGTGGGGCGAAACAACACTAATCACGTGATAATAAATTCTTTGATGACGATAACAACATGTTTATTTACCTCTAATGACAGGAGTTTCTTTGGTTTGATTAACTCGAATGGATGTGTGTGTGTTTGTTTGTGTGTGTGTGTTTGTGTGTGTGTGTGAGGATTGTGGTTATTTTTGATACCAGCCATTGAATTATCAAAAACAAAACCAGATCTACAAACACCAATAGATCAAGTTCTATGCATCGTAAATAGCAAAACCAAACAACAACCAAGCAACTTATGCATGCAGGCAGCAACATAAAACCAAAACAACAACAAAAACGTACTAAAAACAACAGAACATTTAACTACACACAACAACAACAACAACAACAACTATAAAGCCTTGATCAATACAGGATGCTCAAAGATGTTTATTTACTTAACGATTATTTTCCATCTCCTCTCCCTCGTGACAACATTCTCGTCATTTCACCCGCAACATCGACTTTTCTCAACTTTGTCTGATTGCCAATTATTTACTTGTTATATTGCAACCATGCAGATTTTTTATGTTTTATTTAATGAACTTACAAATATTTATTCAAATTTTCAAATTCTATAAGTCACAACCAATCCAAATATTTTAAGATTTTGTTGTTTTATAAGTTCGCCTCTTAATTTCAAATTGTAACATGTTATTTTAAAAACTTGCTTTTCCGGATCATAGTCTAAAAATTTACTTTTCCAAAAAAATATATGTAAGAAATGTTGATATCACAAAAACTGATAAGCGCCTGTCTATGTTATTACAACGACATTGCCCGATTATTGTGGGTTCATCAAATTATATTTATTCTTATTTATAATTTATTAAAATAATTCAATTTGAAAGAACAGTATGTACCAAAGAAACACATTCACAATTACGCATTTTTTTTTACTTTCTGATACATTCAAGTAAAGTCAATTCAAACTTTTGGGGTTAGACCCTCTTGACACTTGAACGTGTTGCTACTCAACATTCCTGTTGCCATTTCAAAATAATGCACGCAAAGTAAACACAACTCATTTTGCGTTCGTTGAAATTTTTTTTTAACTTCCTACTTTGTATGAAATTAAAACGTATTTATTTGCGAGCACCTCAACTAATACACTCGGCCATGCGTTGAGACAAAGATTTACACAGCAATTATCTTATCGCCTTCAATCGCCGCAATTAAAAATATAATCAAGTTAATGCTGCGTGACCACACGCATCACAGCTCAGAAATATGAACTTGCCTACATCGCACACACACGTAACACACGTACATATACAAACACACACACGTACATATACAAACACACACACGTACATATACAAACACACACACGTACATGTACAAACACACACACGTACATATACAAACACACACACGTACACATACAAACACCCAAGACGTGCACATACAAACACACACAAACACCCAAGTTTTAATATGATTACACACACTCACAAATAATGAAATTATCTCAACGTGTTTATCGCCAGGAAAGTCATTTTTTATTTTGTTGGAGACCATGGTTTGATACATTTATACGACTGGCGTTTTGTAAATTGTGGTTAAGTTTAAAAGAGTTTGTTATTTATATATATATATATATATATATATATATATATATATATATATATATATTTATTTATTTAATTACCTATTATAAATTATTACATATTATAAATGTTTTATTTACGTTGATGTAATTATTTAATTAATTTATTTATTTACTAGTTAGCATTGAAAATGTTGGCGCAGAAATTGTGGCTAACGCATGCATGTGGCCTTGTACAAAAGGAGATCTGAGGGAAATCAACGAAGCGTGACGAAATGAAGACTGCAGGACTTCTTGATGTCGTTTGTTGTTGATCGTGTTGTTATAATTTTGTTGTTGTTGTTGCTGTTGTTGCTGCTGTTGTTGCAGCTGCAGTTGTTGTTGTTGTTTGTGGTTGTGTGTGTGTGACGATGCTACGGTTGTGTTGTTTTGAGATATTTTTTATAGTCAGTTATTGTTGTTTGGGTTTGGATGATAATGATCAACATTGTTGTTTGGGTACCTACGCAGTTCATTTGGTTTTAACTTTTTTGTAACTTATTCAAATCTGCTGTTGTTTGTTATAAATTAATTATAAGAATTAATTATTACTTATTAATTGATCTAGTAAACAGAAAAAAAAGAGGAAAAGAGAGAAAAAAAGAGAAAGAGAGAAAGAGAAAGAGAGCTAGAGATTTACAGATATAAATGCACCAGACTGCGGTGTACCTTTATACATGTTTTGTAAATATATCGATTGTTTTGCTTTCGTTTGACGGCATCTTCATAAATTAGTTAGTCATTCATTCATTCATTCATTCATTCATTCATTCATTCATTCATTCATTCATTCATTCATTCATTCATTCATTCATTCATTCATTCATTCATTCGTTCGTTCGTTCGTTCGTTCATTCATTCATTCATTCATTCGTTCATTCATTCATTCGTTCGTTCATTCATTCGTTCGTTCAT